GATCTATGTATTGTGATGAATTGTATGAGCCCCAACAAATTGATTAATAAAAAAAAAAAAAAGAAAGTCAAACCAAAGAGGGTTGGTGGCGGCGGTGATGGTGCCATTGACTCCACCGGACTCACAGCCAGTTGAAATGTTCTATCATTTTGAATACTCTTAGTTACTGTGGTATTTCCCCCAGGTTAACAGTAGAAATACTAGTTTTTCATGAATACGCGTACACCGTTTAATTTCCTCAATGAAATGTAGATAAAGCTCTGTGCTTTTTCTCTCCAGTGATTTAAACCTTTGAGATGCTTCCATTAATTGGGAAAAAAATTATCTTTGATAACTTTCCTGATCCTTCGGATACATGGGAAATCACTGAAACAATTGGCAAAGGAACTTATGGGAAAGTTTTTAAAGTGCTGAATAAGAAAAATGGACAAAAAGCAGCAGTCAAAATTCTGGATCCCATTCACGTGAGTTCCATATTTTTCCTTATGAATTTTCTTTTATCTGTGTTAATTCCCTAACAAGTTGGCAGTATCTTATATTTGTTCCTTACAAGGTCCTTCTAAGACAGCGATTCTCAACATGTGGGTCGTGACCCCTTTAGGGGTCAAAGAACCCTTTCACAGGGGTCGCCCGATTCATAACAGTAGCAAAATTACAATGATAAAGTAGCAACGAAGATAATTTTATGATTGGGAGGTCACCACAACATGAGGAACTGTATGAAAGGGTGGCGGCATTAGGAAGGTTGAGAACCACTGTTCTAAGACATGTTATATTTTGGGAGGGAAAAAGTAAAAGAAAAGAAAAGTAAAAACTCTATTTGTTAGATTCACAAATCTGGTTTCTATATTTAGCATATTTAATAGGGCCCAATAAGGGTTTGATAAATGAGTGAGCAAGTGCACACACATACACAAACGTAGCTCTCCACAGCTCAGCAGTTGACTCGCTTTCACTTTGGGTCTCCTCAGATGATAAGAATGCAAATGCATGGGTCAGCCTAAAATGTCATCGCGACCCAGTTCCTGCCGTGCTGCTTTAATCTCGGCTCCCGGTGGAATTTCTTTTCAGCTGAACCAGAAACTCTTTTTAAAATTAAATTTATTTCAAAGAAGTGAAATCCATTTTCAAGTGTGCATACAGGTTTGAAAAGCAGAAATGGTGTTGAGTTATCATCAGGATGAGGGGTTTTTTGTTGCTGTCGTGAAAAATGGAATATCCTGGTCAGTGTCCCATACCCCTGCTCCCGTGAGGCCTCTTTGCTTTTGGGGGTGGTAGTTGTGATGAGGGAGCTTACTGAGCCTTGCACGTTACCAGAAGGGCACGAGGAGACTGCTGGTATTTGTTTTTGAACTCCTCACGTCGAATGGGTGATATATAGCCCTCCTACAGAACCTGCAGGAACCCTGGTGGACTCCTGATGATGCATTGGGCTGCTAACTGTGAAAGTCAGCAGTTTGAAACCACCAGCTGCTCCCAGGGAGAAAGACAGAACTTTCTACTCACCCCCAAGAACTTGTCTCTGAAACGGATGGGGCAGTTCTCCCGTCCTATAGAGTTACTGGGGGTTGGGGCTTGGTGGTAGAGTCTGGGTAAACCAGAATGTGCGGTGTGCTCGTGCAGTCTCAACGCTCTTACTGAGAATAAGTCCTCCGGGTATTGCGGCTCTCATGTGGAAGGGATGTGCACTGTGATGGGAAAAATATGTGCTGGCAGGACATGGAAACCCTCAGTCCTCGCCAGCTCTTCCACTAACCAACTCAGAAACACTGAGAAACGTCTCCGGGCCTCAGTTTGCTTATCATACAGTGGTTTTGTGATTTGTGATAGTTTATTTTTTCATAAAAGTATACATACATCGTCTCATATAATGTTGTGGCATTTGTTTTAACGCCATAGGTTATGTCTAATGCAGGAAAGAACAAGGAGAAGTGCTGTGCTTAGGCTTAGCTGATGCTGCACATGATCACGTTCCTGTTGGAAATTCCCTGCCATTTTCAACCGGGAGAGAGAAACATGGTTAAGGTCCGCCAAAGTGGCGATGCTTGTAAATCTAGTCTTTCCTTTTAAAGGCCAAGGTTCCGGAAGGCAAGAGAAATGGCTCCTGTCTGGTTCTGATGCTGAGCTCCCCTAATTCTTGATGGAGAAGAGCAAACGGTTTATGAGTGCATACATATGGAGTGGTACAGCCACCATTATTTTATGGTTTACTCTTGCATGGAATACTACACACCTCACAAGTCAGGTCTCACCCTTGTAATGGAAGACTTTGATTTCATGACTAAGCCAATAAAAATGTTCCTTTGCTGCGCTTAGCCTTGTCATAGACATACATGTTTTTCTGACAATTATTTATTTATTGTTCATTCATCATGTCACAAGTCAGATAAAAAAGATTTATAACCCAGAGATTGAAGCTTAATGAAATCCTTTAAATGCAGCCAAGTCTTTCACAGAGAGTCTCTTTGTAACATTTTTATTAAAGGAATCTTACTATTTTGGTTTTTGAACTTTCTCTTCCAAAGAGGAGTGAAATTAGAAGAATGGAAGTCAGTGGTTTTCGTGTCTTTATCTTTTACTAATAGTAAAAGCAACAACAGACCCAATTTAGCATTGTAGTTATGAAATCAATTTCTTCCATAAAACCAATACTAGGAAGCATGACGTCTGCCTCCAGGGGCAGTTTATCCTTCTGTTTACGTAGGTGCTCAATGAGTCTGGACTGACATGGCCCCTAACAACAGGTTCTGTAAGGAAAGGGTAAATTGTAAGAGAATGGTGGTTGTCTGCATGCAGGACCCATTTGGTCTTCTGCATAAAGAATTTGGGGGGGGGCGGTACTCTGATTATGAGAGGGGCACGGGGCAGACTGGAGCCTCTTCTCTCTCGTGCTTCCATGAGCCCCAACGCCATGGTTCTCCACCTTCCCAAGGCCTGACCCTTTCATACGGTTCCTCGCGTGCTGGTGACACCTGCAAGCATAACATTATTTCCATTGCTGCTTCATCACTGTAGTTTTGCTACTGTTATGAATTGGGCGACCCCTGTGGAAGGGTCGTTCGACCCCCAAAGGGGTCACAACCCACAGGTTGAGAACTGCTGCTTTAAAGGAAGGGATCGACCTCGAAGGACAATCAATTGGAAAGACTGTGTTGCTTTCACAACGCCTCTGCACTCTTCTGAGCCCAGCTTTCGACCTTAAAACTGCGAATGTTGGTCTACGATTCTTCCTAGATTTCCACGTTTCTGTACTCCAACAACTAAAATGCTGTCACTGACAGTCAAGTATTAATATGGCATTTTCTTAATAACTGCCCTATGAGTCGTTTGGTGTAGATGTGGTTTTCTTCAGACATGGTTAAGGGTCTATATTGCGTTTTTCAAGACAACATAACGCTCTTATCTACTTCTAGTTAAGGAGCATTTACCTAACTAAGGATCATTTCCTACTTTATATAATTACTCTATCTTACCTTTTCTTCTTAATCGGATTTATTGCATGTGTACTAGTTCTGTGTAGCTTCCAGGTAGCCCCAATATCAAAGAAACCAAATGAACCAGCTTCATAAAGTTTCCATTTTGAATCAGCACCTTGTTAGTCAGGTAAGATTACTCAGAATCACCGGGAACTTCTCCATCCCACATCTGTGTGTCCCTAACTGAATACAAAAACTGCCTTATGTCATCCTCTGGTTTATTCCATGCAAGTCAATAAAGTTAGCAGAATTTGAGACGCATTTGATTTGCATGAAAATTTCCGTCTCTCCCTTTAACTACTGCAAGGTAAAATTTCAGTGTAAAAACTCTTTTGACCTTGTCTGACCAAAATAAATTATACACGTGTTAGTCTATGATAAGTGCTTTTGACCCTAGTTGCATTTTTCTCACAGTTATCTTTTGATGACTTTTTAAATCTAGGATATTGATGAAGAGATTGAAGCAGAGTATAACATCTTAAAAACACTTTCTGACCACCCTAATGTGGTCAGATTCTACGGGATGTACTTTAAGAAAGACAAAGTGAATGGAGATCAACTGTGGTTGGTTCTTGAGGTAAGTGTTCCCACATATTTGTGTGGAGGGAAATCTCCAAGGTGGCTTGTGTAGCGTCATTCTTGAAACAACAATTCGTCGGTTAGAATGTATAACTAGGTGCATCCAGTTGATTCCCCCTGTGGGTCCCTTCCCCACCACCTTGGTGGTGAGCTGTCCCGCACGGGCATCATATGCACCACCCAGAGGGTCTGCTGGCATTGTATGAACGCCATGAAACACGTTTTCTCCTCTGCTTCAGACTGAGCGCATCCTCAGGGCACTACCGTGCTCAGTTCTGGCCTTGTTCTCTAAAGATAAACATCGGGGAGCAAAGGAAAAACCAGTATAGGTCATAAAAGGTTAACTGCCCGAATAATAGGATATAAATTATGAACTTCGATAATTTCTTCCTGAAGTTACTGGAGAACTTTTTAAAAAGTGTTTATACATTTGAGGCATACTCATTGCCTTCGAGCTAATTCTGACCCCAAGTAACACCCTAGGTCGCGTAGCACTGCCCTTGTGGATTTCTGAGGCTGGAAATCTCTGTGGGAGCAGAAAGCCTCATCTTCCTCCACGGGAGCAGCTGGTGTGTTTGAACCACCAACTTGTGGTTAGCAGCCAACTTGCAGCCCACTGTGCCACCAGCGTTCCTTCTATTTGAGGTATAATACTAGACAAATACGTACTACAGCCTGGAGTAAGATTTTATCGCTTCCAAAACATTTTCAATAATACATTTCCCATGTAGAATTACTGGCAGTTTAGAATTTAAATGGAAATCCAGGTATCGTAGGACTAAAAGGATATGGGATCAAATTAGAAATCTTTGCCCCAGAGTTTAAATCAGTGAATGTGGTCAGTCATTTTCTTTTATGCCTTTCAAATCATTTTTCTTCAAAATTATTTTGGCATTTCTCAGTATCATCACCTGGAATTAGGTGACTGTTGGAGACTCCTGATCATAGTTACCTGTTCTGTTAACAAAGTCAGAAAGGTTAGGATGGTTTCTGTACATCGAGTCAAAGTGAATCAGGGTCCTGATAATCAGTGGAGACTTAACACCTTCTTGGAACTCTGCCGTTGTGGTTTACGGTCAGAAGGTTGTATTGGAAATATCCTTAGATGGATTGGAAGAAAGAATAAATAATAATATGGCACTTGGGAAATTTACTCTATCTGAAGTTAGAAAGTGGTTGTAAAAAGTGTAAAGGAAGTGAGAAATCGGCAAACTGACTGTAAGACAATTGATTTGCATATGTAAATTGGCATAATTACATACACACATAAGTGATTGGATGCACAATTACCTGATTTATACAGATGAATGGAGCAGGTGCAGCTTTAGAGGCACTTTTCCGAAAATTGGCTTGTGGCATCAATGCTTTGTTTTATGAAAGCCCTGCTAATTATACCCCTCGTCATACTAATGTCCAAGTAGATGATTTCCCACGAGGGAACCAGAAGAGTGCTCAGAGAGCGGCTGTCCATGTTACCCGAGGGCCACCGTGCTTGGCGCCTGATGCGACATAGAGAAGACATAAGCATCACCGTTTGGGGGGTGGGGCATTACCTTCCTGTGTTCCAAAGTTGTACAACAGCATCATCTTCAATCGCATCAAAAGAGATGTGTGTGGTGGAGAGGGTGCACCACCTCGTCGGCCTGGCAGCGGGTGGAACTCTGAGCAGCCAACACAAACTCCTGCCCCGAGACTCTGCACCCCAATAATCAATGTCTCTATTCTACCCCAGAAGTGATATCCCGAAAACAACCATGTTTTCTCCAATCTGACTAGACAGTCTCGTTTCTCATTCTGTTATTTAAAATGTTTAATTATTTCTTTCAATTTTTAACTGGAAAAAAAAAACGCCTCCTATATTTCAGGAATTTTTTTGTCCTATAAATTTTTGAGCATGTATGATATAAAAAATGCTACATAGGGATGATTGTCCCCCTATTTCTCTGGGTGCCCATTTTCAGATTTTAAATGTCGCCCCAGTTGGCTACCTCGGACTAGTTGGCAGTGCTCTACAATCCCAGGAGCGCACAGAAAAGGCACGCTCTCTGAGTCAAGAAGCAGACTGTTTCCTGTGTGGGACAGATGTGGTCTTTGACAGATGTCTGTGGGAATTCATATTGCTGGCCATGTCACGTTTTCTATGTTTCTAATCAGGCCAGCATAAAAGGAGAATCTTTTTTTAACTCGAGCCTCAATTTGAGACGCCGCGTAAGATTCAGCAGCCTCCTTTGCCTCTGCGCTTCCTTAACGAGAAGCGTCTGATGCCGGGCGGGCGCCGCGGGAGCTGTGGGGTGAGGGCTCCGTTAAAACCCATCGCCAGCCATCGAGGAGATCTCGACTCATCACTAGACTAGCGCTGTCCCGTGGGGTTGGCAAGTCTCTCACCATCACGAAGCACATTGTTCCATCTTTTTTACCAGAGAGCAGCTGGTGGGGTTCAAACCTGCAACGTTTGGGTTAGATGCTGAACACTTAATCAATCACTGCAGCCCCAGAGATCCTCGAGGGCTGCATGAGATTTCTACAACATACTTACCAGATGCACGGAGAAGCCAGAGTGAAAATCTAGTTAAATCCCTCCAGAATACAGCATTTACTGTACTGAAAACAAAGGGGGAAATCGAGAGAGAACCGGCAGTCCTGCAGTTGGTTGGATGCCCAGTCACATTTTAAGTCAAAAGAAATCCAGGCTTCTTTTTCAGGACCCTTTTGCATGCTGTGCCTGTAGCCAGCACGGAAAATGCAGGGTGAGGCCAGCTTTCTGTTAAAAGACCCTTTGCCTCATACTTCAGTCTTAGCTATAAATACGCCCTTCAGGGTGGTGCCACGGCAGCTCTCCATGATTCGTTTGAATTGCTTGATTTGCTCATTCATGATGGTGACACTGCTTTCTCCCGTCGCTTTCCAATTATAGCATTTTTTCCTCTTTGAAATTATATCCTTTCAGAAGATCAAAGACTTGAAATTACAGGTGTCATTGAGAAGCACGAGAATTCAGTAAGTCATCCCAACGCTTCTAATGCACATTTCAGGTGCTCACACAGTGTTTGTATATGACACACAGTAGGGGTTGTGCTCTGTTGTTGTATATCCACAGTGATTGAAAATTGGCGTGGTAATTAAAACATTTTGTTTGTTTTTTTGTCGATGATGAAAATATGCACAGCAAAACACACCGATTCGCCTCTTTCTGTGTGCACTATCGGGTGACATTGGCCGCCTTCTTCAACTTGGTCAGTCCTGTTCACTCTCCTGGCTGTTCTGGTGCCACACTTCGGAGTCAAGTCAGGGCCCTGGTGGTGCTGTGGGTGAAGCACTGAGCTGCTCACCCAAAGGCTGGTGATTCAAAGCACCAGTCACACCACGGGGAAAAACGGGACTGTGTGCTTCCCACCACAGCGTGCCGTCTCAGAACCCCAAGGATCCCTTCTAACTCTGCCTCATGGAATTTTCTGAGTCGGAATCAACTTGATGGTGGTGGGTGTCTGTTTTGTTTTGCTGTAGTAAGTTTAGTGGGATCAATCCTGTCATGAAAGAATGGAAGGCCAGATGAGTTAGAATGAAGAAGTAGTTTCTGTTTGTCCAGCCATGGCTGTTACCCTGTTTCCCCGAAAGTAAGACATCCCCTGAAAATAAGACCTACTTACAGTTTTGCCTCTCACTTCAATATAAGGCATCCCCCCGAAAATAAGACCTCCCTGAAAATAAGGTCCCCGGAAGCTACCGTAACTCTGGACTCTGGACCGTAGTGGCGGAAGCCACTGCGCAGCTACATATGTAAAGGGGAGGTGGTAGGCTCTTGGCAGTTTGGGAAAAGAACAATTACCTGGAGAAAGAACTCCTGAGGACCTCTAATTTGAACAACTGCCAGTGTTTGCATAGCGTTGGAAGATACTTCAATGTTGGCCAATCAAAATAAAGAAACTTTGTTGAACATTTAATGCGCTCAGACCCTCAGAAAGACTACAGACTACCAAAAAAAAAATCCCCACTCAGTGCCTTCAAGTAGATGCCTACTCATAGCGGCTCCCCTGTGGGTTTGCAAGAGAGTAATGGTTTATCACCGCGCTGCTGTGGTTTGAAGCTGCCCGCCAGGTGGATTGCAGCCCGCTGCATTATCCTGACACCACAAGGGCTCCTAGCCAGAGAGGGATACTATAGGAGACTCTTCCTTAGAGCAGACTTAAAAGTGAGCCTTAAAACAGTGAGGTTGACCCACAAGAAAATGAATCGCCTGCTAGAATTAGGATCAACATTTTTTATTGAAGGATAGAAAAGTCAACATTAAATAATGCAAAATGAATAATGTCCAGCATACAATAAAAAGAAAAATCAGTAGGTGTGTGGAAAAAAACAAGAAAATGCCACCTATCATCAGAAGAAAAACATCAGTCAATAGAAACAGATCCAGTAAAAAGAGAAGAAAACAGAGATGAATTTGTTCAAGAATTTAAAGGAAAACATAGCCATAATATTGAGAAAATTGTGAACTATCTTTTTACAAAACTGAATAGAAGTTCTAGAACTGAAGGATGCAGTTAAAAACCCTGGGGTTGCTGTTGTGTGTGGTGGATTGCTGACCTTCAGTTTGGCCGGTCAAACCCACAAGCCACTCTGCAGGAGAAAGATGAGACTGTGTGCTCCTGTCAGGATGAACAGCCTTGAAAACACCATATAGGGTCACCGTGGTTTGGAATAAGCTCAAAGGGAAGGTGCTGCAGCACAAGGCTCAAACATAGGAGCGAGAACAAGGCTAGCAGAGGAGCAGGCAGAGTTTCATGATCCAGAGACCCATGAGATGGAACTAACTCGGCAATACCGAGTCACCACACTAGTGACGGATCAACTAAGATGAGCAAGTTTAGATTCACAGAAGCAACCATCGGGATTTCAAGACAGGAAGAAAGGAGGTATCCAAACGGAAGCACAGAAAAAAAACTAGACAAGTGCATCAAAGAAATAGGGAAAGGATACAGTGACTAAATTTTATTACTTAAC